TTTTTTTTTTTTTTTTTTTTTTTTTTTTTTTTCATCAAAGATTTATGAATTTGAAAAATAAAAAACATTTAATTAAATTTTAATTTCAAAACTCCAGCGCTTCAACGCTCACAGTAAATGCAGTGCATGCAACTTTATGACAGATACTATAGTAAATTTGTAAATTTACATATACTTATTTTACATAGAAATGTTGCCGCATGGATTTATTTGCTATCGTGTACGGGAGAAATACATGTCGCCGACTGTATGTACATATGTACATTATGTATATGTATTATATATGTATTTAGAAACTTGTTTTTTATAATTTATTTTACATAGAAAATTGCTATCATTCAAAATTATCTAATGTATTTTTAACAAAATTGTACGTTTAGGATTGAAGATTGAAAAATTCATGAGATTATAATAAATGTACAATAATTATAATAATTGTTATATTTACATCTGCTGACACTAGGTATGTACATACATACATACACACACTGGTTTTGAATGCTAATATTCTTCTTATTCTTTGAGTGTAAGTGTGATTCACCTAGTTGCATCCAGCAGGTGACGCTACCTGTTACATATGAGAGCCCAGATTCAAATAAAATTTTCGAATATTACATGTTGTTGTAGATATTAAAGTAAAGTTGACTTAATTTTAACTTAAATATATGTACTTATATAGTTGGAATGAAACATCTTCTAACTTTGATTTATTTATAGAAAGAAAATAAAATACAATTTATATTCCAACATAAAAGTACATATATTTTCGCCACACGGAACTTGAAACTATGGAGAAAAATCGTGAAAGACACGTATGAAATTCAATGGATCCTTGTTCTAGAATAACAAATAATAGAACGAGTAATATGTGACTAAAAACAATATTGTTAAATAACATTTTTATTATTAAATTAATTTTTACATAATATTGTAGTTAAGTAAATTAAAATTAATTAACAATTTATATTCTGTATCTAATTTATAATTAATATAAGCCAAGCTTAAAAAAAAAAAATGTGGGCTTTTTGGTAGATTTTACTCAATGAGAAATCAAAAATTAATAGTCGTTAATTTAAATTCAATAAAACATTCTGGGCTAGTTTTTCAATCCGAGATAAAATTTTATCCAGGATAAAATTATTATTGCCATTATATCTATAAACATGAAATATATAGATATATATTGGGATCAGATAAAATTTTCTCGGATTGAAAAATTGGCCATAACAAAAAAAAATTTGTGCCACTTAGGAATAAGAATAAAATTAAAAAAAATAATTTTTTTTTGTATAAAAGCTATTAAACTACACCCGTTGATGGATCACCGCCCATGTAGTATTTGTAGGTCACCATTGTCTCACCCCATTGACCTGCTCGAAGATATTTGAAAATAATCCGTTTTGGTCGATTTTTTTCGATTTTCGCTATTTTTTTTAAAGCATTTGGGTTTGTTTTGATTAAACACAAGAAGTTGCACGAAGTAATTTAAGCTTAGCTAAGTACAGTCAATTGAATGCACATAAATACGTTAAATGTCGCGATCGAAAGAGGGAGCAATTCTCAAGTCAAATTAATATTGCCGCAGAATCAAAGGATCAAAACATAACCTTAAAATTGAATTGTGTTCAACTAATGAGTTCCGAATTGTTCATATTTTCAATGCACGTTGTGAATGTCAATCAACAGTTAGAGAAAATATTTTTTTGTTGAATAATTTTTTAAGTATTTATTGTGATAATAATGGGGAAAAAAAAAAATCGATCAAATATAAATGGTAATAATAATTATGTTCAACATTCATCTCATACTGTAAGCAGCAGTTCAAACTCAGGTTAGCTTTATGCATATTTTTTATTTGAATTCTAATTGTCAATATCTATATGACTTATAATTATTTTTTTTTTTTTTTTCAGAAATCAAGTGCCGGCATATCTCAAAATCTATTAATCTATCCACCGTCCGTAGAATATTGAAAAAAAATGGAATTATTGATAAGTGTTTACTATGTCATAACTTACGCATAGATTCTACTCAAATAAATAATAATAACAATATTAATGATAGCAATAACAACAATAATAATAACAATGGCAGTAATAATAGTGTTAATAATAAGCCATCTCTGTTGGTTTGCCTGCAGTGTGGTAATCAATCATGTGGTGAATTGGTTAAAAACCATGCTGAAGAACATTATCGTATACCGCACAGTGATTGGCATTATTTAACAGTTGATATTTTAAATTGGAAAATTTTCTGCTATGAATGTAAAATTTTTATTGATATTAATAGTAATACACAATTACATGAAATAGTAGAATTTCTAAAAGGACTGACACCGAAATTGTTTTCACATAGTAATGCTATGCCTAAATTAAACGAAAAAAAACCAAAAGAATATAGTTCAACTGCTCATACTGAGAATAAGAAAGAAGAGTCTTCTCAATATTTCCCTGTTAAAGGGTTGAGTAATTTAGGAAATACATGTTTTTTCAATTCTGTATTGCAATGCTTAGCTCAAACACCATATCTAGTTGAAGTCTTAAATGATTTAATTAATCCAAAAAATAAGTTCTCTCTTCCAGGAGGTGAAGTAAAAGTAGCTTTTAACGGTGATGAAAATGATGTAAGAACTCATATCTTACCACCAATTGAAAAAACTTTAGACAGTTCCGGTAATTTTACTTCTGAATTTCATAAAACGTTACTTAATATACGAAACCCTAATAGTAATGAGATATATAGACCATCTCTTTTACTTAATATACTCAGGAAGAAAATATCGCATTGTACAGATGGTGGTCAACACGATTCACATGAATTATTGCGACTTTTACTTGAATTAATTAGAAATGAAGATTTTCATAGGTATCAATCGATTATTTTGAAGGAAATTGGTCGTGAGAATAATGAAACAAAACAAAAAAATGATGTAGAAAATAAAGCTTTTACAAAATTTTATGAAAATCAAGCAAACTCGCGATTATTGGGCGTGGAATCTTTATTTCGAGGTGTTTTAGAATCTACCGTCAAATGTACAGAGTGTAATAATTCTTCTCAACGTAGTGAATATTTTATGGATCTCAGTCTTCCTGTCATTGTTGAAAAAGCTCAAACTTTTAATGCTAAACAACATAAAATTGAAAGACTCGATGCAGCATGTAACAAATATTTTCCTAGTGATAGAAAAAGTAAACATCAATTGAAAAAAGAAAAACGAAATGCGAAATTAATTCGAAGATCGAATAAAAAATTTCATAATAATAAAATACGTAACGATGATGAAGATGGAAACGAAGTTCCTGATTTAAAAGTTGATGTAGAAAATCAAGTAGATGAGACTAAAACTGAAAAACTAATCGATGCTGAAAATCCCGTCGATGAAATTAAAACTGAAGAACTAATCGATGCTGAAAATCATGTAGATGAGATTAAAACTGAAAAGTTAATCGATGTTAAAAATAAAATAGATGTAAATAAAGATATTTTTGAAAAACAAATAAATCGTAATAGCAATAATAGTTTAAAATTAGAAAAAATAAATATGTCTAACGAAACTCATTCTGAAGCTGTAAATCAGGACGACCATTTAAATCTAGAAACTCAAAATATACCTCATGAACGGGTCCCTTGCATTAATGTTTCAAATAACTCGGGTGATTTGACAACAAAGTTATCTAATATGTCTATTAGTCAAGATAAGTTAACATCTCCAGCATTTACGCATTATCAACCACAAAGCAACAACATTTCAATAGAGTCTTGCTTGAATCAATTCATTGCGGTCGAATTGTTAGATGACAATAACAAAGTTCAATGTAAAGTATGCACTGATAGAATGAATAAAACAAGGAGTGATAAAGTCCCTGGCTCAAAAAGTGTTTATACTCCTAGTGTGAAACAATATTTAATTTCTCAATCACCTGCAATTCTCATACTTCATTTAAAAAGGTTTCAATCACAAAAATTCAATGGATATCATAAAACTGATAAACATGTTTCTTTTCCAATGCAATTAGATTTGGCTCCATTTTGTAAAAACAAGGAAAAACGGAAATTATATTCTCTTTATGGACTAATCGAACATTCTGGAACGATTCATGGTGGACATTATGTAGCTTATGTGAAGGTATGGTATGCATTCATTTATCCAATTTTTCCACTATAATTGAAGCTAACTAATTAAGCAATTAAAAACAAAAAAAAATTACAATTAGCGCGTAGACAAATAATTTTTCTGTCAATAAATCATAGGTGTATATATACGGAAATCTCAGGAATTGCCGAAAAATTATTTCTGCAATCACTGGGATACGAATTTACTCCTTATTGAGCCCTTATCAAGTTATCTAATTAATAATTAATAATTATCTGATGATATTAAATGTAGACTCGCAAGAAACTAGATCCAAACGATTCAAGATGGTCATTTTTGTTGAAAAACGACGTTACCAGAACTGAAAATAAAGAAAATGGCAATGATACCAATGAAATCGATATTGATAAAGAGGAAAACGACCACATTTTACCTGGCCAATGGTTTTACGCATCTGATTCAAGGTATTAAAATATTTATTTACAGTACATTGATAAAAATAATGTGCACCCTGCCAATATGCACTTGACAGCCTATTTATAAAGTTTTAATTCGACATTCGGTAACTTGAATGATTTTTGTAACTTCCCTCTAAGAAAATTGAAAATTTTCAAAAATCGGGAAGTTATTGATTTTACCCCGTTTTTCGAAAATCGAGTGTTCATCAGATCTCGACGTTTTAAGGTCACAGGAAGCTTCCCTGACTATTTCCGCGATGGTGTCCGCGCGCGCGCGCGCGTGTGTGTGTGTGTGTGTGTGTGTGTGTGTATGTATGTAAACCTCTTATAACTTTTGAACGGCTCGGCCAATCGGATCGAAATAGGGCGCGATTCAAAGAGTATCATTGCCATTAAATGGTTGTGTGTGTGTGTGTGTGTGTGTTTTTTTTTTTTTTTTTTTTTTTTCTATAGTATAGGTAAAATACATTTACGTATGCCAGGACTTGGTGTTGGTGCCAGGACTAGGTGTTGGTGCCTGGGTATGTCGGACTC